TTGTGCATGCCAGCTCACATGGGCAGGAACCTAGTTTCATCCCGTGGTGTACCAGGAGCAGAGCTAACCTGGCAAGTCCACCATCACAAAGAAGAAAGCCCACACCATGAAGGCAGTGGTATGTGTCTGGTTTTATTAACATGCCTGTTTGATGAGCCTCCATGGCTCAGTTTTCTAAGACCCTCATCTCCCAAAGGCAAGACATATATAACTTGCAAGATGTGAGCTGTAGTTAGAAAACCTCCCCACCAGTACCTTCAACCTCAGACTCTGATTCTGGGGGAGGAGGAGTGGGGGAGGGAGCGGGGCAGGAGGGGGCATTACTCTTGCAGCATCCGTCCTTACAGCAATCTTGGAAGTGAAGATAGGGATGCTTCCCGGGGAGGAACAGAGAGGCTGAAAGCTTTGCCCACCGAGGCATCTTCTATGGAGCTAGCTATCACCCTACTTTCCTACTTTCCCCTCAGTCCATAAAAGCTGTGAGGCAGCTTACCCAAATCTCCAGAATTCTAAAAAATAGTTTAACCCTTGAGGCAGTAGATAGGAGGGGAATGGGCAGGTAGGTGGGTGGTGCAGTGAGAAGGTCAGAGCAGATGAGTTCACCTGGGACTCCTTGGAGGCGAGCAACACAGGTAGCTCTAAGCTTCTTGATCAAAGCAAAACAGAAACAAGTTCTTGGTCCCTACCCAGATAGATCGATCTTTCCCTGCCAGAAGTATTGGATCACACCATTCTGCTAGACAACCTCCCTTGGGTGAGAAATGTGACAAAACAGTGAAACTCTAAAAGCACAAGAATCCAGAGCTGGAAGGAGTCTGGTACTTAGCAGTGAGTCCAAGCATCTTTCCCAGGTAGTAAGTTTTGTCGGTCTGCCCACCCGGGGGAGCTACAGGAAGCTCCTGGAGGAGGAAGGCTGGGCTTTCATCTCTCCTAAAACCTAGCTCAGGGGCACTTGGCTGGTTCAGTCCTTAAAGCATGCAACTTTGATCTCAGGGTTGTGAGTTCAAGACCCATGTTGGGCATAGAGACTAATTAAAAGGGAAAAAAAATTCCTAGCTCAGGGCTAGTGCCGGCCCCCAAACTTCACTTATGGCTGAAGTGATTCTTGATGAGCAGAGACTGGAAATGTGAATTTCCTACAGCTGGCCAATGGTTATAAGACAAGAAGGCCATGACTATCCCAAAAGGTGCATGGACAGAGGGAACCTGATAAGGCAGAGGATTTTTTTTTTAAACACAGAAGCAGACAACAGTGGAAGTTACAGACTGCTCACGTCTTTTAAAAGTCAGCTACTCAGCAGCTACCTCTTGCTTTGTCTCCATTTTGAAATTGTATCTCTTTTAATTTTACTTATTTTGCATTTTGCTTTCTAATTCTGATTATAGATTTTTTTTTACTTACTGAAGTTTAACACTTTTATAGTAAAAGCTATTGATTTTATTCTTTTTTTTTTTTAAGATTTTATTTATTTATTTGAAGAGAGAGACATAGCGAGAGAGGGAACACAAGCAGGGGGAGTGGGAGAGGGAGGAGCAGGCCTCCTGCTGAGCAGGGAGCCTGATGCAGGGGCCCGATCCCAGGACCCTCGGATCATGACCTGAGCCGAAGGCAGATGCTTAACGACTGAGCCACCCAGGCGCCCCCCATTGATTTTATTCTTTGTGATTCCTTCTCTTACTACACTAAACTTAGAATTCCTCTGCTCAGATACTTGAGAATTTTTTTCTCGAAATTGTCCTGTTGTTTGACATTTTTATATATAACTTTTTAATTCATCATTATCTTTGTTGTTATTGTTGTTGTAAAAGTTATGGGGTGGTTCCAGGTGCTTGAGCAGTTCTCTGTTAAATAATCTTACGTTCTCTTTTCCATGGCAGGTCTTCTTAAAGATAAATTAGTACAAATGATTGAAGAACATAAAGCCTATTTCAGAATTATCTGTTCTGTTGCAGTGATTTGTCTATTTTTAGTAACATGCCATTAAAATCACTGTGATCTTATGATACATTTTAATATCTGGTATGAATATCCCCCCTTACTTATGTGATTTTAAAATTTCTTAGATATTCTCTTTCCTCTTGTCCTCATTGTCTTCTTTCTCTCACTCTCTCTTTTGTTTCTTCTAACTGAAAAGTCATTGTGCAAAGTAACTATGCCATTGGCCCCAGGCCACAAAATACCATGAGTATTTCACATATCCTAGAAAGCTAGCCAAATGATTGAATTGGAATGAATGCTAATATTCAACTACATGGAAATTTCATTAATTGAATTAGCCATAGTCAATGGTGGACATAGAAGTTGTTTTGCAGAATTATTGTCAATAATAATAAAAGCTCTATTTCAAAGTTATCTGTTCTGTTTTAGTGATCATCGATGAAAGATGAGTATTTTTGTATATATGTCTTCATCCATGGCTTTATTTATGTAATATATTTTATATAAATGGAATTTTGGGGAACATTATTAATGCTTTTGGTACTTATCACCAAATTGCTTTCCAAAAGAGGTACATCAATTTATCCCTATCACAATGATACCAGAGTTCCAAGGTTTTTTTTTTTCCCCTTTAGCACTGTATGTTATTAATTAAAAATATTCACCAATGTGGGAAGTTGGCAATGATATCTCTTTTTTAAAATTAGTAAATGTGTCATTACAAAAATGTTTGAAATTTTTCTTGTGTTTATTCACCATGTAAATTTCTTCCATGATTGTCTGTTTTTGTTTATCCTTCATTTTTCTAAAAACGTTTAATGTTTTTCTCATTGTTTTGAAAAGAACTCCTTATTTACAATAAGGACATTAATCTCTTGTGTGTTTATTCATCCAGATTAATTTTAAAGAAATTTTGTCAATTACCTCTCTGTCTCTTCACTCCTCTGAAAAATGGAATCATTGGGATTTTTTTTGTCAGAATCTCATTAAAGCTATAAATTAACTTTAAGAGGATGAACGTAGTCTTAATATTTATTCCTTCCATCCAAGATGTCATGACTTCCCATTTATTCATATATCTTCTACATCTTTATAAACTGTAGTTCCCATCAAACAGGTCAAAACATTTCCTTTAAGATTATTCTGTTATTTTATATTTTTATTGTTACTCTGGATGAGATATTTCTATTATGATAACTTCTAACTGCTTATTGTTATATACAGGAATGCCATTACTTTAAAAAAATTTGTCTTAAGTTTGTTTTACTCAATATTCATTAATATAATTTCTAGTTTATTCTTAGGTTTTCTAGTTATATAAGGACCATCAGCTAGAGTTTTTCCTCTTCATTAATACTATTTTGATTTATAATTATATTTCATATTTTGGATTTTCAGAACAATGTTGAAATTTTTAAAAAAGGAGCATTCTTGTTTTGTTCCCAGTTCCTAGATACCTATCTAGATTCTTCTTTCTTTGCTCCCTTGGCTTGGGAGTTGTGACCTCTATCAACCCTTTTCTCTTTTTTGTCAGATAAAAAATATTCTACTAAAACAGAACATCTAGTATACAGCATCTTCTCAAATTTAACATACATATATTTGTGTGTATGTAGAATCCTACATACCTAATTACATATATGTTATATACTCGAGTCTTCTTTTTTATTTTATTTTATTTTTTAAAGATTTTATTTATTTATTTGACAGAGAGAGACACAGTGAGAGAGGGGACACAAGCAGAGGGAGTGGGAGAGGGAGAAGCAGGCCTCCCGCTGAGCAGGGAGCCCAATGCGGGGCTCGATCCCAGGACCCTGGGATCATGACCTGAGCCAAAGGCAGATGCCCAACCGACTGAGCCACCCAGGCACCCTGAGTCTTCTTTTTTAGAAGTCTGGGTAGCTGGTGGTGCATTAGTAGAAATGAGACCACAGGAGGCACTTGGGGAGATATCTAGTGATAGTCACCAGAATACTGAAGCACTTCTCAGTATCTTCTCAAAGGGTTGTCCTTTACAGGATGGGACAGAATTCACATGTTAAAGAGACACGAGATCTAATTTATGGAAAACTCAATGTGAGTCAACACTTAGATGTAGTTGCCAAAAATAACTATAAACTTCTAGCTCCCTGAAGACAAACATAGGAAATGATGATGATCGGCGTTGGCCAAGAGCCTGATACATAGCAGGCATGATGCTAGGTGTTCTCACACAGATTACTCACGTCTATTTTCACGAGGACAGTTGAAAGTGTCAAGAGAGAAACTGAAGCTAAGTCCCTAAAATGAAGCAGAGCAGGGGATATGCTATAGTTTTTATGAAGTGTAGGGTCTTGAATTGAAACAGTATACCCCAGATCTGGCCTGATGTGTCACGTTTAACAGTGACAGAGCCAGTCCCTACATTGTATTGTAAAGAATTTAAGGAACTAAAAATTTTAAAGTTATACTTGAGGGGCTATCACATGGGAGGGCAAACACTATGGATATAGGGTGAGCCCAAAACAATCAATCTACTACTGTGACATCGCCTGCTTGCAGATTTCAATTACTAACTACCTGCATGCCAATAATCGTGAACGTTCCTATCTCCAGCCCAGGCATTCCCTGGGTGTCCCATAGGCAGCACACACTCAGTCCTGGGGGTTAAGGGGTCCTCAAAGACCTCTCTGTGAGCACTGAATCCAATCATAAGGAATAATCATAATCATTATTTTAACAAAATGTTTTGAGTGCTGATTATGTACTGGCCCCTGAACTAAATATATTGTATTTGTTGAACACAATATTAGTTGAATTCTCCCACTAATCTTCCCAGTATGTATGATTACTATGTTGTAGATGATTAGAGTGAGACTCTCAGAGGTTAGTTATCCACCTGAAACCAGTATCCAAAGGGTTTATGGGACTAATAAGCACAGCCGCAACTTTTTACCCAGGCCTTCTCATTTGCTTTTAAAGTTGCCTGACTCTCCTTGGGGAGGCAGATTTGGGACGTTGTCCTTCTGTCTCCGAGTTTGGCTGCCTCTCGAATAATCTCTTTCCTTTCTGCGTGATCCAGGTCCCAGTGATTGTTTCTACTCTGTATCCGGCAGATGAACTTGGGTTCGGTTACACAACCCGTTAAGTGGTGGAGTCTGGTTCAAGCTTCCAGGTTCGTCTGACTCTCAAGGTAAGCTCTTTCTAGGACACAAATGCCACATTTCCAGAGCAGGCAGATCAAGGTGGAAGGCACCATGCATTGGGGAGGCCCAGACATGAGGGCCCTCCCGGTGACTGATGTTTTCATGGCTACCGCCTCATTCCAGAAGCCTATCAGAATTATGCTTTTCAGTTAAAGACATGTTCGGGTTTTTGTTTGTTTGTTTGTTTGTTTGTTTTTATGTTTTGAAAGGCACACACAAACCCTTCCATGGAACTGTGGGAGGACAACATGTTTCAACAGAAATCCCTGCCATGTTTCCATTGAAGACTTTTGCCCACACAACTCTATAAAAGCCTGGTGTTTCCTGGATGTAGAGAAATCCCTTATTTTCAGAGAATGCAAGGTTGAGGATGGCTAACAGACATACTTGTTAAGGTTAGGAATTCCTTCGATTGCAGAGCAGGCAGCCTGCATGCTAGAGACACCACTTTAGATGGTTCTGGAGGACAAAACTCTCAGGAATGGGAGCTGCCATATTGGCAACTCTGCAGGCATCATCACCTAACTGGGATGCTGTTGACTTCAGGATGCTCTTCCCCTCCTTTCTTGGATCTCCTGGGCATTGGGCACCTGTCTTACTCATTTCTGTACCCCTGGGATTAGTCATGGTTTATTTACCATTGGGACTTCTTTCCTAACAGAAACTTTGCCACCACCTCTTGGAAGGAAATATGGAAATTGTGCTGTTTTCCCCAGCAGTCAATTTTCCCTGTTATGATCATCATAATGGCAAACAAACTTTCTGCCAAGAAAGATAGGCTAGGTCACAAGTCAAAAGGAAAATAAACCAACCAAAACAAATATATAAGTAGAGGTAAAATTGTAAGACACTCAGGGGAAAAGGATGTCAGGAACAAAGTAAGGGTCAGAAAGAAGAATGGTTAGAAATACATTCCATAGTTGTGTATTGATTTGGACAAGTTTAATAATGCCAAGAACACAATTAAGAATAGAGGCAGAAAACAAGGTGTACACAATGAGACATTGAAAGAAAAAGTCTAGGCAACATTTTTATCTGTTAGGGAACCAGACTAAGAGCTAAAAAAGAAATGAAAACAAATCATGCTGTAGACCTTTTTAAATTTCTGTCTTGGGGGTGCATGGATGGCTCAGTCAGTTAAGGGTCTGCCTTCAGCTCAGGTCATGATCTCAGGGTCCAGGAATCAAGTGCTGCATCGGGCTCCCTGCTCAGCGGGGAGTCTGCTTCTCCCTCTCCCTCTGCATGCCTCTCCCCCTGCTTGTGCTCTCTCTCTCTCTCTGTGTGTCAAATAAATAAATAAATAAATAAATAAATAAATAAATAAATAAAATTTTCTGTCTTTGGATAGTCTTTCTTTGAAGGAATAGTTAATAGTTTCATAATTGTGTGATTTCTGGGTATGCTAGGAAGGCCCATCATGAGAAAAGGATCTGTCCCAATGGCTTATTGTTCATAGATGAAGGTCTATGCTTCAAGGTCTATATTTTGTGTTTATTTTTATTTATTTGTTTATTTATTTTAAAGATTTTATTTATTTATTTGACAGAGAGAGGTACAGCGAGAGAGGGAACACAAGCAGGGGGAGTGGGAGAAGGAGAAGCAGGCTTCCCGCTCAGCAGGGAACCTGATGAGGGGCTTGATCCCAGGACCTTGAGGATCATGACCTGAGATGAAGGCAGAGGCTTAATGACTGAGCCACCCAGGCCCTCTTGTGTTTATTTTTTTTTAATTAATTTATTTATTTGAGAGAGAGAAAGCATGTGAGTATTGAAGGGGGAGGGGAAGAGGAACAGGGAGAGAAAAAGTCTTAAGCAGACTCTGCTCTGAGTGCAGAGCCCAACACAGGGCTCGATCTCACGACCCTGAGATTACCTCCTGAGCCGAAACCAAGAGTCAGATGCTTAACCGACTGTGCCACCCAGGCACCCCAATCAAGGTCTATATTTTATAATTGAAACATTGGCACTTGACAATTCAACTACTATTAGCCATGAGCATCTTTTCATGAATTAGGTTATCAGATTCTTTCCAGTGGTCGTGGGAGAAAACATGTAAAAAAAAAAAAAAAAGGGGGCGCCTGGGTGGCTCAGTTGGTTAAGCAACTGCCTTCGGCTCAGGTCATGATCCTGGAGTCCCGGGATCGAGTCCCGCATCGGGCTCCCTGCTCGGCGGGGGGTCTGCTTCTCCCTCTGCCCTCTTCCCTCTCGTGCTCTCTGTCTCTCATTCTCTCTCAAATAAATAAATAAAATCTTTAAAAAAAAGAAAAAAAAGAAAAAAGAAAGAGGCAGGAGTGCTGGATGAATGGACGTTTCACGAATTTGCTACAGAAATGCCAACATGTACTACCCATCTGAGTGAAAAGTTAGGTCATATATGGGTCTCAAGTATTGCCCCAGTATGACTTCAAGTGCTGTACAAACCTGCTCCCCTGGACCCATGCTAAATTAGAGAAGCGGGGGGTAGAGAAGACATAACCAGAATGGAGGCTGATGGAGGAGGGCTCTTGCTTCTGCTTCCAGTTAGCTGCTTTCCACCCAAGATTTACTGACCAATTCTGCCCCAAGACTGGGGAAATAGCTAGGTCCCAACTCAGATTTTGTGGGGTCTTGAAGTCAACAATGTCTCTGGTTTGCCTTTCTAGGATCAAGCAATTTCCTTGCATCCTAATACCATGAAGGTGCTCGCTGCCCAGGACCTGCTTTCCAATTAGATATCAGACGTGTTTCTGCCCCCCTTTCTAGGAATCCAGTTGTGCTCTGTGGCCAGGTCACCATTGCTATTTTGGACCATCTCTGATGCTGCCTGCCTGCCTGGTGTGTAATCTAGTGTATTTCTACATTTCTTCACCCTCTCCGATCCCAGACCATCATGCCCTGCCTCCCTGATCTGCATGGCTCCCAGTGCACCCCCAAGCCCTTCCCAGGTACAGCAAATCTTGTCAATTCAAGTTTGCTTGGGTTATGAGTTAGAAATAAGTGTCCTTAAAATTCTGGTGAGCTCTCTGATAATTTAGGAAAACACTCTCTTATTGAAAACAAACAAACTTGTTTGTTTTTATTTCCAAACTTTGTAGTGAATTTCTTAAAAGATACTTTCCTATGACATTCTGAAAATATTTTGAGGATAAAGAAATTAATAATTTTGGTCTTAGAATTTATGCTGGAATCTTGGGATGAGTTAGCCCACAAGGTCTCTTTTTATAATCGTGGTTTTTGGATAAATTTCTAATGCTTAAGAGTTATATATGGAATCACCAATTTTTCCTTTCATTCTTCTGAACTTGATGTGGTCCTTTCTCCCACTCACAAATCAAATCCCTTCTCTTTACCTTATTTGATCCTAATTTTGAAAACCTGTAACCAGTTGAAAAAAATCAAGCAAGAAAAACATCAGAGAATAGTACAGCCTGTCAATTGATTTCATGAAGCTTTGGTGCGGCCATAACTACCAAGACTTTGAATTCTTATCTAGAGGGCTGCTAGTAGTAACCTTTGCCAGAGCCGTGATGCCTCATGATTTTCTTGTTTTACTCTTGTATCTGCACAGAGGGAATCAATGCAAGAAATAGTTAGAGCTTGTCCGTAAGTATTTTAGTAGTTTTCCCCATTTATAGTTGTGTTGGACACATTATAGTTTTAACTTGTTTTTTAGTGTGAGTTGAATTAAGCAACAGAAGTGACCCATGTGAGCCTGCATGAACACTTGTGAGCAGTTATATTTACTGTACTTAGTGCCTTAACTTCATCCTCAACCAGACTTCTGCACGTAATATATCACTACCTGAAATTCCAGCAATCAGGAATTTGTCTGGATAAGGAACTCCCTATTTTTAAAAAAAATGCAAATCCTTATAGCAAGGTTAAGGGGGTATGAGCTCTTCACACATTTATGAGGACTAGTTCCATCAGATTGTTCTCTGGTGCCCTGAAGGAACGAGAATTTTGCTTGGAGGAAAAGGAAGGAACCACTTTGGAGAGAGTACTTAGTTAGGTTTGTGTAGGGCACTTGGAGAGTCTGTGGAGTGGGGTAAGAGGATGCCAGAGACAAACTTGTTTTCCTTTGAATGTTTGCTCAAGGCAGGTCCCAAGCAGAGTCATAGAATGTTATAACAAAAAGCTGAGAGTTGATAGAGTACCACTTCCTTGTTTTATGTAACTTAAGTCCCAGAGAGAGGAGGTGACCTGCCCAGCTTCAGAGTCAGTGGTAGAACTTGGACCTGAATCCACTCTCATGTCAGTGCTCCTTCTCTAATATTCTGCCACCTAGCACAGGTAAGGAGGCATTCCTTTCCCCCTTGGATTTTCTGCTAGGACCCAGAACTCGGCAAGCACTCAGGTCCTGCTGCTCTGGAGCTTACGGAGGCCACCAGAGCCCTCCTGTGGACTTTACCACTCCTCAAGCCTTGTTTCTACTGGAAAATGAACTCCTGGTCATAAATCACAAATTTGCTAACCTGCTTTTGGTCCACAGCCCACTCCTGGGTCAAGGAGAGCCCAGGCCGTGCAAAGATAGGACTCATCCCCAGATGAGGAGGGGACATCTGACTTCTGAATGACTGTAAGTCACAGGGCTCATGTGAGAGGCCAGTGAGCCTCCTTGGACTTGTTTCTTTTACCCCAAACAATAATTCACAGGAGGATCAAAGGAGGAAATGGCCACTGGGCCTTGCCCTCTTCCACACAGTTTATGACAAGCCCAATGACGACCTGACAAAAACAGCTCTGACAGAGAGTGAGTCCCAGCCCTGCTCTAGGTGTGGAGCGGGGACCTAGGGTTGAGAAGCAGCCCCAGCCAGAAGTTCCTGAAACAATGGCCAATATGAGAGGGAAGATCAGTGCCAGGGTGAGGGGATAAAAATGAAGAAGTTCTGTCTGAGACACAACTTGGAGATCAGTTGTAACAGCAGTCCTCTCTATACGCATAGATCCCTGTGGTGTTTAGAAAACATTTTCACATTTGTGACTTGATGTATTATTAATAGAGATGA